TGCAGGCCTGCTCCAGGGCAGCGCGTCTGGCGGGACCGGAGCTAGGCCTGTGACATCTGCGAGGCTGCACTTGGAGCATCCTGTGCACGGACCAAAGTCACCGGGGCACCCTGGGGTCTTGGTGAGCAGGGTGTGATGCCCAGGAGGCTCCGCTGTGGAGCTTCACTGCATCATTCTGGCTACAGTGGTGATGGGTTCCTGTCCCTGTTTCAAGTGCAAGCTCCAAAATGCACATTCGTGTGACCATAACGCATGTACCCAGGTGTTACCCTAGTGGGAACTTTACTCTCCGCTTTACTTTGTCGTCTTTCTAAATCTTTTCCATACTTTTCAGACTTATAAAGTGTTCTGCATCTGTTCTCTTCCTCCATCCCCAAAGCACTCCCAGGACAGATACTTCAGGGCATCCTGCCGTTGCTTAATATCTATTACCTGGAAAGGATTGAGGAAACTGCTGTGAAAAAAGGTCAGTTTTATTTATAGAAATTTCTTTTCTGTAGTTAAAGGGTTGTTTGGTTTCCATTGTCCATTCGGTTCTTGGCCTCTTTGTCAAGATTGTCAACAAGGAATAACAGTTTCTATTGGCTATGAGAAGCTTTTGGGGGTTGATGCTTTCCTTAATTGGAACTGGATTTAGATTTTAGAATGCCACATGTTTCTTATAGAACACTGAACAGCATTAAAGATAATGTTTTTCAGTGACTGCTGACCATTGCTGGCGAGAAATAATTATATAAAGGACTGGAGATATCTGATGTATTCAGTCTCTTTAAATAGATGAGAATTCAGTGAAAATCGCCAACTGTATAGTTTTTAAAAGACACCATCAATTCAAATTTCACCCCAAACTTTGGCTTTCTAAAAATATTAACAATTTGTAATATTGTCCGGAGCAGCCTTTGTCTGCAGCGGGCCTAGAGGGGCCATAGGTTAACAGCTTAAATTTCATGATTAACTGGTTAACCAATTACATGGGATTTTACATCCCTAATATTAAGGCAGGAATTAGCCCAGAAAAGGTTTAATTACTTTATAATAATTAATTAATTACCAAAACTAAAAGAATAACAATATGTGTAATATATAACATGGGAAAAGATTATTTTTGTAGGAGATGTTTTAAAAATTAGTTTAACCTCATCGCACCTCTAGCAAACATAAAATGTCTTATTTTAAATCAATATCAGTCTAGTGCTCTGAATAGTCTAAAAAATAAAACTCATGTTTCTAATCTTATTTGTTTTAAATTAACATCACTGTGAAACCCGAGAGAGGAGAGTTGAGCAAAGCTGTTGAGGTGGAGGATTTCGTGTAAAATAAAAGTTTGTTTTTCAGGACTCTCAACCGAGCCAGTATGGCACAAACTGTGGAATGATGTGATGAAAATCAGACCACCCAAGTCAGAGGTGAGTCGGAAACGTTCTGATAGAGCAATTTAGTAAGGACACAAAGTTTACACTCCAATCGTGCTAACGCTTATGCATCTGTTTCACTTTGAGCATGAGAGTAATTCCATTGATTTGAGTGAGACTTCTGACGTGTCTAAAGTTAAACATGTATAAATGCCTATAGGATCAGGGACTCATGTGTTACCACGGTATTCAAAATAATGATGTTAAATATTGGTTAATTGAATAGTCAGTTAACCTCATGATTTCTTATCAGTTACTCAACTATTGTGGAGCCCAGCAGCCAGTGTGCTCTGTCCACACTCCCAAGGAGCCCCCCTGCCACTCCACACTGCTGCCTCTGTATCATAAGAACATAAGACCGGCCATACTGGGTCAGACCAAAGGTCCATCTAGCCCAGTATCCTGTCTGCCGACAGTGGCCAGCACCAGGTGCCCCAGACAGGGTGGACCGAAGACAATGATCAAGCGATTTATCTCCTGCCATCCCTCTCCAGTCTCTGACAAACAGAGGCCAAGGACACCATTTTATCCCCTGGCTAATAGCCTTTTATGGACCTAACCTCCATGAAATTATCTAGCTTCTCTTTAAACTCTGTTCTAGTTCTAGTCTTCACAGCCTCCTCTGGCAAGGAGTTCCACAGGTTGACTACGCGCTGTGTGAAGAAGAACTTTCTTTTATTAGTTTTAAACCTGCTGCCCATTAATTTCATTTGGTGTCCTCTAGTTCTTCTATTATGGGGACTAATAAATAACTTCCCCACAACACTCATGATTTTATAGACCTCTATCATATCCCCCCTCAGTCTCCTTTTTTCTACACTGAAAAGTCCCAGTCCCTTTAACCTCTCCTCATATGGGACCCGTTCCAAATCCCTAATCATTTTAGTTGCCCTTTTCTTGAACCCTTTCCAAGGCCAAAATATCTTTTTTGAGGTGAGGAGACCACATCTGTACACAGTATTCAAGATGTGGGCGTACCATAGTTTTATACAGGGCCAGTAAGATATTCTGTGTCTTATTTTCTATCCCTTTCCTAATAATTCCTAGCATCCTATTTGCCTTTTTGACCGCTGCTGCACACTGTGTGGAAGTTTTCAGAGAACTGTCCACGATAACTCCAAGATCCCTTTCCTGATTTGTCGTAGCCAAATAGCCCCCTTCATACTGTACGTATAGTTGGGGTTATTTTTCCCGATGTGCATTACTTTACACTTATCCATGTTAAATTTCATTTGCTATTTTGTTGCCCGATCACTCAGTTTGGTGAGATCTTTTTGGAGTCCCTCAGAGTCTGCTTCTGTCTTGATTATCCTAAACAGTTTGGTATCATCCACAAATTTTACCACCTCACTGCTTACCCCTTTCTCCAGATCATTTACTGTATCAGAGGCAGTAGTGCACGGTGTCAGGCGGCAGCTGGTCTGTGAGGGGAGCCAGTTTAAAAAACAGCTTCCCTTGTGGACTGCCTGCCTGCCACCCCACTGTATCAGAGGCAGCCGTGTGGGGTGGAAGCAGCCCCTGTCTACGGGGTGTCTGAGTATCTGGACCTGGCATGAGCTGGAACTGAGTTGAGCTGCCAACCCAGCTCATAATACACTTTAAATGCAGAGCTGCAGCAGGGGTAGGTCCTGGACCCAGCAGAAGCTGGAATTGAGCCAGGCTGCTGGCCAACCTGCTAAAAAAATTTACTGGCCGACGGCGGAGGCAGGGCAGAAATGTGTGTAGTCTATAGCATTAACTGATAAGCTTTTGCTTACCGATTAATTGACTATACTATTACATCCCTTATTTGGTACTTAGCTAGATCTTTTCATCCAGGAGGCTGCTATAGCACTTTGAGGGCTTAATATATTGGGCTGGAGAGCAAGCAGGTGCATTCTGAGTCGTGGGGCAGAGTTGGCAAAATCTAGCACTTTTTGCAGAAAAACGTCCGTGCCAATCTAGATGCGGTTTTGTGCAAGAAAGCCCCAATCGCCGTTTTCACGATAGGGGCTTTTTTGCGCAAAACAGTATTGTGCTGTCTACACTGGCCGTCTTGCGCCAAAGGGACTTTTGCCCAAACGGGAGCAGCATAGTATTTGCGCAAGAAGCACTTATTTCAGACAGTAGGAAGTCAGTGTTCTTGTGGAAATTCAAGCAGCCAGTGTAGACAGCTGGCAAGTTTTTCCACAAAAGCAGCTGCTTTTGCAGAAAAACTCGCCAGTCTAGACACAGCCCTCGGGAATAAGCCATTGGTGTCTGGACTTCCCATTCGGACATACTGAGCCCTCCTGATTTTAGTTAAGATGGATTCCAGTACCTTTCAGAATGTCAAATGCTGGCGTGCAGCACAGAATCCATGTAGCACAGGCTGCGGCATTAGAAGCTTGTTAGCCACCACTGTCCCCCCAAGCGTTCCTGAAGGAACTCCTTGTTGGGGTCAGACTGTATTTCAGTCTCCCTGGCACATTCAATTCCTTGATCTCTGCTGAGGGTATGTCTAGACTGCATCCCTCTGCTGACAGAGGGATGCAGTCTAGACATAGCCTGAGACCGATATCTGGGAAAGTGGTTACAGAATCTCAGAGGTGTAGCCGTGGTAGTCTGTCACTTCAAAAGCAACAAGTGGCAATGGTGGTTTTTGTGAAATGACTGAATCCACTAAATACTTGTCAGAGGATAACAACTTACTGACCTGGACGGAATCTGCATTGGCATCCGAAGGTGAACAACCACCCCTCCATCTCCCTCTTTCCCACTGTGACCTTGTTTAAATGAGGATACAGTCCATTAACTCTGGGATATTTTTACAGAACATAGCAAGCTGGAGGAAGAAATTCCTTGAAACTTTCTTCTCGAATGTCCTGCATGGAGTTTTGGATGTTTCTTCAGATCAGCGCCTGAGTGACCAGCGGTTTTCGCCCCTACTCCTCAGCTCCCGGCATGTTACACAGCTCACCATCTGCAATATGCTGCAGGGGGTAGCAGAGCTCACTGCTCAGCCCAACCAAAGAGTGCTAGAAAACCTGGCCGGCTCCCTGAGAACCTTGAAATTCCGTCATTTGCTGACCTCTGATCTGTCCATTAGACAGTCCCTGAGCTTGCTGCTCCATCGTCTGATCCACCATGGAGCGGTCAGCCAGGTGTCCATGTGTTCCTGGCCTGTTCCCGACAAAATACTTTTAGTCCTCATTCTGACCATGAGTGCTGGGTTTTGGCACCCAGGTAGGACACTTGTGGACCAGGGCCGCCCTTGCAGTCTTTGCAGAGAGGAGTCTGGTACCCAAAGCCCGTTAACTCTAGAGGATGATGCCCTGTTCAGGTCAAACCAGCTGTGCTGCGGATCCACCCAGCAGTCAGAGCCAGGCCAGCAATCAGAGCCAGGCCAGGGGGGTGATCGTGAGACCAGAAGCAAGACAGTCCAATTTGTTTCACCCAAACTGCTTCTAGAAGCTGATCCTGACTCTCACGCTTCTACCGAACTGTCCAGGAGCAGTAGTTGCACTGTTAAAACCCCAGTGCTCTGTGGCTCGAGGAGCCATCCTTTGCAAAACCTCGCCTGCCCTGATGTACGCTACAAAGTACCCCCCGGACATTGCAACCTGAAAGACTCTTCTTCTTCCCTCACGGAAAGGTGTTCGGCTAGCCCCACTTTCCAAAAGCCCTATAGACGGTTCAAGCCTCCAGTGGGGAGGAAGCGCCGCTGCCCCAGGAGAAGCCGCAGAGCTCACGCAGATCCGGAAGACCTTTATGATTTTGTCTTCGCCGTTGCTAGGGAGGAGGAGGAAATAGCAGAGTCCCTCTACGAAAGCGGTGCGCAGGAGGGGGAAACCATTGATGGCTGGGCCCCTTCTGCAGCAGACACTCCTAGCTTGGAGGGCATTGGCTGCACAGGAGGATCTGTTGGGATCCTTCCTCTGAAACCGGCATGCCGCTTCCGAAGTGTGTCTGCCCTGGAATTGTTCTCCATCCCGCTGACCGGGGACACCTGTCGGACTTTGGGTAACCTGTTGAGCTCTTGGGCATCTCTAGAAAAGCTGGTTCTGTCTTACAATGGTTAGTAGCAACAACAGAGCTTTTACTCTCAGGTGTGTTGGGCAATTTGGTGTCAAATTCTAAAAGCGGCTAAGATCTGCTCTGAAATGTTGGTGGGGTGGAACAGGCATTACCGGGCACTCTTAGGGGATGTCTAGACTACATGCCTCTGCTGACAGGCATGTAAATTAGACCACCCGGCATAGTCAATGAAGCGGGGATTTAAATATCCCCGCTTTATTAAAATAAAAATAGCCACCGCGCCGTGCCGGCACAGCTGATTGTCGGCACAACGTGGCAGTCAAGACACGGATCGGTCGACAGGGAAAGCCGTTGTCTACTGCTCCCTTATGCCTTGTGAAAGGAGCTTTACAGAATCGGTTGACAATGGCTTTTCCTGTTGACCGATTCGCGTCTTGACTGCCACGTTGTGCCGACAATCAGCTGTGCCGGCACGGCGCGGTGGCTATTTTTATTTTAATAAAGCGGGGATATTTAAATCCCCGCTTCATTGACTATGCCGGGTGGTCTAATTTACATGCCTGTCAGCAGAGGCATGTAGTCTAGACATACCCTCAAATTCACCCTGAAAGGGAGCAAGGATAGTTCAAACCATGCAAGCCTGTCTTTAAGTAGGGACGTGCATGGGACAACAACAGGGTTTAAAATACAAGGCGACGATCTAGAGGGGGGCTGTATGTTAGAGGAAAAGGTGCCAAGATGCAAGTAGAGAATTAGGAAGATGACATGAGGAGAGAGAGGAAGAAAAGCCTCTGTACAGTGCATAGCATAATGGGGCCCTATTCCTTGGTACCACATTATCCATAATTAATAATAAAATCATATTTGAAGGCGGTCCAGAGGGGATTCTTCACTGCATAGTAAAAACATCCCATATGGTTTTTTGTTCCTGTGTACATTTACGGTAACTTTACTTTGGAGAAGGAACTGGGATGTAAACCCATCAGATTAAAGGGACCCATGAGTCCAGCTAGGAGGCGTGGGGGTGAAAGAGAGCAATGGTGAGGTCTGATATAGGGATGGGAATGGTGAACCAGTAAGCATCACCCTTCCTAGTTACAGTTAACCAGTGGGGGCTGGAGCAACAGCAGCTCACCTCCCACCAGGGCCTGCTCCAGTCCAGCCAGAGCAGACCCCACCTGCAGCAGGTCCAGCTTTGTGCGCCATGGGCAGAGACACGGAGAGCCTGACCCAGCTGGAGCAGTGCGCCACGGTGGGGAGGAGGCTGTAGCCCACCCGTCCCGGTTTAAACGGGATTTGACATCCACTGTCTGAGAGGTCCTAGCCCTCCAGACTCTTGCCTGCGGTAGAGCACCCCCACTAGGCTCTGGTGGAATCAGTGGAGTTCGGTATGAGGAGATGTGACCGGAAAAGAGCTTAGACTATAGATTGTTCCCGAAAGGAACTGTCAGAAGCCCCATTGCTGGGGATGTAGCACTGGCTAGGGAAGATGGACAAGTGACCTATGTCGAATGTTGAAAATCTCTGGAGTGCTAAGCCCTGGCCTAGAGTGACTCATTTTTTACTCCTCTAATCCATCCCTGAAGCGCAGGATTGTTCCCTGTTCCTTATTGTCGTGCAACATCCACTTTCAAGTGGCTGAAGCGATGGCTTGTACCTCATCCCTGGGGAGACCGTTCCGCAGTCCAACCCTGGGTCGGCTAGAACAATGTCGACGATTCAAACTCTGTCATTGTTCCAGCCTTGCTGATTGATTTGCTCTGTGTGTGTGTAACACCCACCTTGCCTGCTATTGAAATGTTGGTTTCAGGCCTGGGCGCTAATATCTTCTGCATCCTGTCTGGGCTCCGGGCCCTCTCTCACCGCAGTGATGGCAGCCTCCAGGTGGTGCGCGTAAGCGACGTGTTTTCACACATCGCCTCCGTGGAGCTTGTGTGGTCCATCCTGAGTGCCTACCCTCGCCTTCACACGCTCTCCATCAGCTTTGATCTCAAAAACCAGCTGGAGGGGAACAGGCCGGAAGGGCATTGGAGCTCCTTGGAGGCAGAAATTCCAGGTAGACAATAGACTGATTAGTAAATGAGATCTCACTGTGTTTAAAGCGGTAAGTTCACCCTCCTTTGCACACAGGGTGGGATGCTTACGTCCTGGCCGGCGCTGTCTTTGTGTCATGTAAAATATGAAACATCAACTACTACCAAGGCCAGGCAGAACTTAGCATCGGGGCTGGAGGTATTCTTACCTGTGTGGTCTAGATTTGCAGGGTCTGTGCCAGCTTCCTGTTCCCGTGTGTGCATTGCATGCTACTGACGACAAAACAGAAGGCTGGTTAGCATCAGTCAGAAGAAAAAACTCTGTTCATCATGACAGCTGAGATCAAGTGCAAAGCTATTGGCAAGCCCCTGGATTTCCAGGTGCTGTAGCAAGGAAGCAAGCCAGTACCCCCCTTCTTTCAAGTGATTTGTTGGTCTTCAGGGCACGAAGTCCAGTATAACTCCGGTTATGGCCACGCTTTGCAGCCTCTCCTGCCATAGCCCCTGTGTGAAGATGCAGACTTTGCTGACAGACGTTTCTCGTGTTTTGATGTAGGACCTGAAATGTTAGCTAAGCACTTTTCCGTCAAAGCAGCTGCATCTATGCTGGGGGTTTGGCCAGCGTAGCTATGTCAGTCCAGGGTGTGTTTTTTTCACACCCTTGACCAGCGTAGCTAACTTTTGAGAGTAGCTCAAGCCTCAGGTTTTTGGCTTAAAGTGGGATCTGTGAAAACCCGTGTCCTGGAATGAAAATCTAATTCCACTATTTGGGGATAAGAGGGTAACATTTTCATGTGTGATTAGGAGCGTAAGTCCTGTTGAAAAAAATCAGTAAGATGTAGGTGCCTAAGTCACAAAGGAAATAGTTAGCCAAAGTCAGTGTGTTCACTGCTGTTCCTTGCAGCCAGGCACGTTCTACAAAGCTACATGACAAGTAGTCTCGCTGGATGGCTTAGTTCCTATGGGAACCAAATACATTCATAGACCCGTAAGACTGGAAGGAAGTCCAGTCCCCTACACTCGTGGCAGGACCAAGCACCATCTCTAGATCCTCAGTCTCCAATGATGGAGATTCCACAACCTCCCTAGGCAATTTATCAATGTTTTTTGAGAGAAAGTGTTCGCAGACAAACCTCTTTTCCCCCTCCCCACAGAGAGCTGTCTGGAGCAGTTAGAGATCCGATTCCCCCGAGAAGCTCTGCAGACCAGTCTCCTTTTGCCTGTGCTGAAAGCCTCAAAATCTCTCCAGCAGTTGTCCCTGGACAGCGCTACAGTTTCTTGCCCCCTGGAGTTTGGGCTGCTTCTGCAGACACTCAAAGGTAACCCAATAAAACTGTGTAGTGAGCTTCTTGGACAAAACCGACCGTGGTCTCGTGCAAGCAGCTTGTTTCTGGCTTCACTGTCCCTCTCCCACGCTTGTTGCCTAGAGAGCCAGCTCTACACTACAAAGTTTTATGGGCAAATCTGTCTCATGCAGGTGTATGCAAATTCCATACCTGTGACTGAAAGAGCAATGCTGGCAAAACCCTGCGTAGAGTTGCGTCAACAACTGTTCAGATGGGCTGGTATCAACTGTATCTCCACTGGGGGGCTCTGCCAGCATGGCTGTACTAGCATAGCTGCCTCAGAAAAGCCTGTTTAGGGTGGAATAGGAAGAGAGATGTAGCCATGTTAGTCTGATCTTTCTGAAACAAAAGAGAGGACTGTGCAGCACTTTGAAGACTAACAAGATGGTTTATTAGGTGATGCGCTTTCGTGAGTCAGACTAATTTCCTCAGATCAAATTCTGGAAGAGAATTGGCATGACCATAGATACCAAAGGAATACAACGAAAAAAAGTGAACACGTTATAAAACCGACAAATCAGATTTAGAACAGAAGGGGGGCGAGGGGGAGGGCTAGTATCTCTGAGATGATGATACTAGGAGTGATAATTGGGGAACCTATCTAGGGGAGACGTGCTTAAACTATTTGCTTTGGACTAGCAATGCTGGGTCAAGTTTCCCAACGTACCCGACATTCTTCAGTCCCATTTTCATAAGTCATTTGGGCACCTATGTGCTTTTGAAAATTTTGCTCTCTTGTGTCTGCCACGCAGACAGCTGGCCTGATACCCTAATACAGAAAAGTGGGAGCGGCAGTAGGGATTTTCGTCCTGTTTTGTTTGGATGAAAATTCCAGTGGGGAGATGGGAGTTACTGTGTTGCGTGAATCTGAAGGCAGAATTTGGCCCTGAATATGTAAGTTTTGTGACTTGTGAGCTGCTGTTTATCCAGGACATTTAGCTGAGCGGGTGGGATTTCATCAGCAGATAGCGCCGGTCTCTTTTGACACACGGGCACACAACCCCTGCTCGTTGGGGTCTTATCTGTCTTGCAGAGTGTAACCCGGGCCTGAAGAGACTGAGCTTCCATGATGTGAACCTTGCCGACTACCAGAAGGAAGTTCTCCTCCTGCTCCAAGATCCTGTCCTTCAAGGTAAAGCGAGCACCTGCCCACCCATGTGGGCAGCATCACTGCTGGGGGGGTACAATGTGATCCTGGGCCATAAAGGGTTGGACCAGTATTCTCACAGGTATGGGAAGGAGATGGGCATGTTCAACTTGGGAGGGAAATGAGACCACACCGAGTTGCGGCTAAGAAGAGGGAAGGGTCTGAAGCCAGTCTACGATGCCAAACAGTGGCGTTACGGTCTTGGCTGCTAGATGTAATATGCCTGGTGCCATATCTAGCGCCCTGCACAAACACAAAATTTGTGTATCTGCTAAAATGACATGTGAATAGCCACGTCTGTGGATGGCTGTAGATTTAAAGCGGATATCTGCAAATTTGCAGAGATGTAGATACAAATTTGTATCCGTAAATATGAGCCATGGGTCTTTGTGAATTTGCAGGGCTGTAGCCAGGAAAGGCTTCAGCTATGATCTAGGTTTTACCTGGTTAACAGAACACAGGTCAAAGTCCTGCCTGCACTATTCATTTTTAAGCATGTTGTAACTAGATCCCTAGCAATGATGGTTACAATAAACAAAGCATCAAAGCTGCGTGCAGTATGTAATAAATAGTTTACTGGTGCTGGTGAAAGAGGCAAAAGATACAGCTCTCCCTGTATATTTTTGGTAGAAATTACATTTTCCTTTTGTCGGCTGTTTGAAAACTGCACCCCTGAGTTTCTATCTGACATCATCACAATAGTGAAGAGCAATTCAACTCTGAAGAGCCTCAAGCTGCCTGGGAACAGACTTGGTATGTACTGCCAAAGGGCATCCCCTTCCCCAAACTTCCAGGGCAGTAGAGCCATTGCTGGTTGAGCTGTTAAACATTGTAACCCGTACACTACACAATTATCTAGGGATGCATCTGGACTGGCAAGTTTTTCCGCAAAAGCAGCTGATTTTGCGGAAAAACTTGCCAGCTGTCTACACTGGCCGCTTGAATTTCCGCAAGAACACTGACGATCTCATGTAAGATTGTCAGTGTTCTTGCAGAAATACTGTGCTGCTTCCGTTCAGGCAAAAGCCCTCTTGCTGAAATGCTTTTGCGCAAGAGGGCCAGTGTAGACAATGTGGTATTGTTTTGCGCAAAAAAGCCCCGATGGCGAAAATGGCGATCGGGGCATTCTTGCGCAAAACCGTGTCTAGATTGGCACGGACGCTTTTCTGCAAAAAGTGCTTTTGCGGAAAAGTGTCTTCCGCAAATGCTTTTAACGGAAAAACTTTTCCGTTAAAAGCATTTGCGGAAAATCATGCCAATCTAGACATAGCCTAGGTGCATGGGGGGGATTTTTTTCTCCTTTCTCTGAAGTGGTAGGGCTTGGCCACTGCCACAGGTGAGATTCCAGCCGTCACAGGTGAATGGTCTGGTTCTAGAAGAGTTAGAAATAAAGCTAATCCCAGTCGCATGAGGCAGACGCTCTGCCTGTGAAAGCTAGTGCAGATGCTTCCTCAGTGCACCTTAGAGCCTTCTAAACTTACAGGGCTCTTCCCCGATTTCCTAGAGGGCCTTGTTGCTTTAATAATGTTCAGGTAACAGTTAAAGGGGTAGTGAGGATGAAGAATTGAACGGCTCAGTGGACCTGTAATGGACCGATCACACCTCTCTCTCACTGCTGGGCTCCCAGCGGGAATGAGCCCAGCAGTCGGTGTAACTTAGTCACTTTACCGTTCGGCGCTGTTTGATTGCAGTCCTGGTTCTAGCAGTAATTTGCCGGCGCTGAAGCTGCTCGAGTCCCTTGGGGCTATAGTACAGTTGCGCTTCCCTCTCTCCTTCGATGCTTACCACCAGCTGTCATTGGTTGTTTTCCCACCCTTAGGGAATCACAGGTTGGTGGCCTTGGCTGACATTTTCTCTGCAGATTCTTCCTCGGCCATCTGCCAGCTGGATGTCAGGTATGCTGCTGCCTCAACCGCTGGACTGCCACGTCCCTTTTTAAACTCACTCCAGAGAGCAGGGTAAATCTTGAGCATGGCTCTGTTGTGTGCTAGCTGAGCCGATAGTCTCCAAAGTATGCACTGAGGGGTGTGCTAACTCCCTGCTGCTTAACCCAGGCATTGAGCCTTCGAGGGTAGGTAACCATGTGGAGAAATAGAAATGTGAACATCTTCCATTGCGGCGCACCTAAGCTTGTTTTAAAGGGCTAGGAATTAGCTTAACAACAAAGCCACCAGACTTGTTCAATTGCTGGTCCCTGGGGGAAGAATGGCCAGCTCAGCCCTTTTAAAGGCAAGGTGGAGCCAGTGTTTGCATATGACCTGTTATCCACCGCCTGCCCGTTACCTTCATGCTTCTGAATAAGCATGTTTCCTCCATTAAATTAATTCTAATGTGCAGGCACTTAAGATCTTAACTCAGTGGTAGGCAGCCTGCCATTGCTTCCCATTGCCTGCATCCTGCATTACCAGATTCGGCTGGTTTTCATCTGCACAGGGTTTTTTTTTTCCCTATTGGTATTACTAATGTGACACCCGAATAACACAAGGGCAGGTGAAGTGAGCTGTGTGTTCATTGCCCACAACATGGACTGTGAGAGCCGGGTGCTCCCTCTGCATCCACTCAAAAGCCCTGCTACAGTTCCATTTGCGAGAGCCCTGCGCTGCTTCTGCAGCCAAAGCATCCCAGCGGTTAAATTGACACCCCCCAAATTCTAGGTACACAAGTGTAATTAGCAAAACTTACCCAATCCCAGGAGACTTTGTCTTGGTTCTGACAATCTTGCAGCCTGCTGAGATAGAGGGCCACTCATGCCACCCCCTCACTAGCCTACTCCCCCTCCTCATCTTAACTGCATTTTACTGTTTGTTTTACCCTCTTAAAGCTCAAATTGCATCAAGCCAGACGGGCTCCTGGAGTTTGCAAAGAAGCTGGAGAGCCACATCCTGCAGAGGGGCGGGCAGATCAAGTTCACCCACCTCCGCCTCTTTCAGAACTGGTTGGACCAAGATGCTGCAACCGCTCAAGAGGCGCTTCGTCGTCTCAAAGCCGTGTGCAGCGTGGTGAGCAACACGTGGGACTCATCGCAGGCCTTCGCTGACTACATTAGTGTGATGTAACGCGCACCCACGCTCTGCTGTACCAGCGTGACACTTAAAATAAAGTCGTATAGAACAGTGCTCCCAGTCTTTGGCACTGCTGTTCCCGCGGTGCACAGAACATGCTGCAGGAGTAGGCACAGCTGAGATCAAAGTGTATTGAGTCGAAGATCTTGTACAATCCCTCCCTCCGAAGCAAGAATTAATCCTGTCAGTTTCATAGTGCAACTGGATTAGGGAAACAAACTCAGCAAGTGAGGTTATATAAAAAAAGGAATAAAGAGAAGGGAAGAAGCAGCAACTTACCTGCTTCTAGTCCACTGAACAGGACACCTTTAACCCAACCTTCCTGTTCACCTTCCAGCAGGACTCTGACGCTGCTGCTGAATGGTTAGTAATATCTGCTGGAATCTAGCAGTTACTGCAGCATTCCCGTAGCAGTTCTGACTCAATCTTTCATTTTGTGCTCGGAACACAAACTCCCCTACCCCTACTCCCCTCTCACACTGTAACTAAAACAGCAAAGGCTACGTCTACACTGGCCCCTTTTCCGAAAGGGGCATGCTAATTTGACAGGTCGTAATAGGGAAATCCGCGGGGGATTTAAATATCCCCCGCAGCATTTAAATAAAAATGTCCGCCGCTTTTTTCTGGCTTGTAGAAAAGCCAGAAAAGAGCGTCTACACTGGCCCCGATCCTCCGGAAAAAAGCCCTTTTCCGGAGATCTCTTATTCCTACTTTGCGTCTACACTGGCCCCGATCCGCCGGAAAAAAGCGGCGGACATTTTTATTTAAATGCCGCGGGGGATATTTAAATCCCCTGCGGATTTCCCTATTACGACCTGTCAAATTAGCATGCCCCTTTCGGAAAAGGGGCCTTAGGGCTGTGTCTACATTGGCGCGATCTTGTGCAAAAGCGGCTTCTTTTGTGCAAAAACTTGCTGCCTGTCTACACTGGCCACAAGTTCTTGCGCAAGAACACTGACATTCTAATGTGTGAAATCAGGGCTTCTTGCGCCAGAACTATGATGCTCCCACTCAGGAATAAGCCCTCTTGTGCAAGAGGCCAGCGTCGACAGGCAACATGAATTTCTTGGGGAAGAAAGCCTTATGGTTAAAATGGCCATCACAGCTATCTTGCGCAAGAGAGCGTCTACACTGGAATGGATGCTCTTGCACAAAAACACGTCAGCATAGACCCTCTCTTCTGGAAGAGTTTTTGCAGGAGAACGTGCCAGTGCAGATGTAGCCCCAATGCTCCGGCCAGTCATATTTTTGGAAAAGAGAAATCCCCACTGCAAAAGACACTTTGCTACAACAAAAACGCTTTTTCTCACTCTCATTTTACATCGGGGAGAAGTCCTCCCTATGGCCTGGCTTTCCTTCATTTGTATTTATTTCTCTCACATACTTATTTTACAATTTTTTTTCCCCAAACAGAACAGTTTGCTTGTCCTTCAGCAACTTTATTTTATAAAACGTAGTTGAGTAGAAATTTTAGTACATTAGGGGCTATGTGTTGCCTGCACTGTAGAAAGATGATCTCGCTAAAAATAACACAAATTAGTTGTTTCTGCCAAGATTTTCAAAGTGAAAAGTGATTTTCGTGGGGCTTGAGTCATGCACTTTCTGAAAATAGGATCCTTTAGAGGTGTCTCAGGCTGCTCCATCCAGAAGCAACAGTTACACCAAGATTTTAAAAAATGGCTGAAGTTGGATTGATCTTGGGGTAAATGACTATTTCCCAGAGCTGTCTACTCGACCCAGATTTCATAAGAGAGGTAGACCCTGCCAGCGGCATCCAGCTCTCATCAGTGCCTGGGCATTCAATACTATCTAGCTTGTGAGTTAGGGCTGCCAGAAAAATCCTCAGTTGCTGGGAGTTGCACAATGAAAACCAGATCTGCAGCCAGGAATGAACCTATCCATAAAGATGGACCTTGGTTTTTGTAACAGGGCTTAGCTGAATAGAGACAGGGATACAAATTGTGGACTGGATCTTGCTTGTGGGCTCTCAGATGCAGAACCCGTTATGTCCTGACACTATTAAACTCCTAGGTTACACCGAACAAAGCACATCGCATCCCAGACAAACAGCTGTCTCTCCAGTACACATTAGAGATACCCGAGTGGCACACACAGTCCTTGGTGCTTCCTGCGGTCCCAAGCACGGTTGAATAGTTTTCAGGGCCTACCAATTTCTAGGTGGAAGACAACAGCAACGTTGTCTTGCTGTTCTGGATCCAGATATCAGCCCAGGCAGGCTCGTTCTCAGCTCTCTGCCAAAGTAACACTCGTGGGCTTGACTTCCATAGGAAATGCGTCATCAGGGAATCCCTCGCTGCTCCTCGTGGGAGTGGTGATGGAATGTGAAGGTGACAGCAGCATCCCATGCGGTCTTCAGCACGGAGTCCTGGAGCCCACGCTTGTCCGCACTGTGGTTCCACTGGGAGAGATCAGAGGTGCAGTCCGAGCCTTCAGGGGGAGGTTTTACCTGGTGGCCATTCACACAGCGGCGACACTTAAACCTAAAAGAAAGAGATGTTCTAGAGGGTGGGCCAAGGCATGTTACACCTGCCGGACTAGGTACAGAATCCTAGGCTACGTCTACACTGGCATGATTTTCCGGAAATGCTTTTAACGGAAAAGTTTTCCATTAAAAGCATTTGCGGAAAAGAGCGTCTAGATTGGCATGGATGCTCTTCCGCAAAAAGTGCTTTTGCGGAAAAGCGTCCGTGCCAATCTAGACGCGCTTTTGCACAAAAAAGCCCCGATCGCCATTTTAGCCATCGGGGCTTTTTTGCTCAAAACAGCACTGTGCTGTCTGCACTGGCCCTCTTGCGCAAATGATTTGTGCAAGAGGGCTTTTGCCCGAATGGGAGCAGCATAGTATTTCCACAAGAACACTGACAATCTTACATGAGCTCGTCAGTGTTCTTGCGGAAATTCAAGCGGCCAGTGTAGACAGCTGGCAAGTTTTTCCGCAAAAGCAGATGATTTTGCGGAAAAACTTGCCAGTCTAGACACAGCCCTAACGTTTTGCATTTTGGCTAAGAGGTGTTAACCTTTGGGTTAACCTGCACCCATTTGTCTAGCAAGTGGCACCGCAAAAAGCCCAGGAAAAGCAATGATCTAATGTGCATGCACATGTTATAAAAGCTATTCACATGATGGGACACACATAACTGGGTCATTTAGGCTTGGTTACCATGATTCCATTTAGAAAAGCTGGGGCTTTTATTTCCAAAGCACCCAAGCCTCCGCACATGAATATTTATACATACAATGAAACCCTTATAATCCATCCAAATTCAACACTGAGCATGTAACGGGAAAAGAGGTGAGCCACATGGACCCAGCAGCGGCTCTGAAGGAGTTGAGAAAATGCTTCATTTAAAATACTCTTTCGCTTATAGACTTCAGATCTAATCGCCTGTAGGATCCCAGGTCAGACACAGAACATGGCTGTAGACTTGAATTCCCTGTCTGAAGCCCCCTGGATAGCCGCTTTCAACTCCCTGAAGGGGGTACCAGAGAGGCTGGAGAGAGGCTGCTCTCAGTGGTGACCGACGGCAGAACGAGGCGCAATGGGCTCAAGTTGCAGTGGGGGAGGTCTAGGTTGGAAACTAAGAAAAACTGTTTCCCTAGCAGGGGGGTGAAACACTGGACCGGGTTGCCTAGGGAGTGGGGAAATCTCCATCCCTAGAGGTTTTCAAGGCCTGGCTTGACAAAGCCCTGGCTGGGATGATTGAGTTGGGATCAGTCCTGCTTCAAGCAAAGGGTTGAACTCAACAGCCTGAGGTCTCTTGCAACCCCTAGTCGCCTATGAATCTATGATCATTAGAACCCCACTGTCAATGATCATTAAAAAGCCCTTCTTTCACCTTCTAGGACCTAAATGCTTTGCAATTTCCTTTCATCGTTTAAGGACATCACCCCTCTCTCGGCCTTGCCTGGCCCTTTCCTGCCCCCCCCGGTCTGCTCCGAGCGCTCCATCCCGAGATGGAAAATCCCCAGTGGATCAGCCACTCCTTCCACTCTCCGCACGACACGATTGTTCCCTACTCAGCCGTTAAGGAATGGCTTGCCTGGATTTAAATGCACAGGGGGGCACTCGCCCCTTCCTGTGGGAGGCCACTGTTTACACCACAGTCACTGGCTGCCCTAATCCGTCCCTAAGTTTATAAACCTACTTGTCATGGGTGTCACTGGCGGTGGTCTCGTTCCACGTGAACAGCTCCTTCAGCTCCCCTAGCGAGAAGTGTCTCTCCACATCCTGCTCCTCGTCTACCACGCAGCTGCTCAGCGCCTTCTTGTGGGTCTGACGCTGGAAAATCTTCTCCTCAATCGTCCCCGTCTACGAGAGACAACGGCCGGTGAGATTAAGGGCAGCTGGACAAGGCTAAAACTGGGACCTGGCCAGGACACCGGGATTAAGTCTTTATCTGTAGATAAAGTGCCACGGAGGTCGGTAATGCCCATAATTGACCACAGCCTCAATTTCGCCTTCTCTTTCAGCTGCCCAGAGCCACCGTGCTGGGGGCAGAGGTCTCTTGGATTCTGTCCTGAACAAGTCATCAACACTACTTCAAACAGCGCCCATATGGAGGGCTCCAAGCACTGTCCCAGCCCAGGCTCCCAGCATGGGGTGATGCGGCTGCAGGCCGGGCCACAGATGGCTGCAGGAAAGAGGCGACGTGCAGGAAAACCCCTCGGAGTACAGCACTGCTACCCCAGGACCTCCAGGGAATTTGCCTCAAGAACAACAGGGCACCAGAGGAGCCAGTGGGCAAGCCGGCCAAGGAAAGGGAGTGTTTAAAGCTCTGAAAACAGACTCGCGGATTCTGTTGTTGGCCCAGTTAATAGGGCAGGCCTGGCCTTGTGGGCTGCGGCATCCACAGCGGCCCGGATACCCCCGCCGACAGACAGGTAGGAATTCCAACGCCCCTTCAACAATGGGAGCACATCGGCAGGGGAGGGGGTAAGGATCTACAAGGATGGGAGTGTTGCCGGCCCACAGCCACACTGTACCTGCCACAAAAGGTTCAAAACAAACAAAAGGAAGTTTTACTTCACACAAAACACAGTCAACCTGTGGAACTCCTTGCTGGAGGATGTTGTGAAGACCAGGACTTCAACAGGGTTCAAAAAAGAACTAGATCAATTCATGGAGGTTAGGTCCATTGATATTTATTAGCCAGGAGAGGTAGAAATGGTGTCCCTAGCCTGTGTTTTTCAGGGGCTGGAGAGGGATGACAGGAGGGGGATCACTTGATTTCCTGTTCTGTTCACTCCCTCTGGGGCACCTGGCATTGGCCACTGTGGGCAGACAGGACACTGGACTAGATGGACCTTTGGTCTGACCCAGCCTGGCCATCCTTATGCTCTAAAAGATTAGTGGTGTATTTATAACGTTTTGGTCATTTCTATTGCCCCAGCCACCAGTACAGAGTCAGGGCCCAACGGCAATCCCATTGAGATCACTGGCGAAGCTCTCCATGGCAGCAGATTTGAGGACTGATGCCATCGAGTGCAACGCGCACCACAAGGCAGCCCTCATGAAAGGCTTCCAATCACGGCATCTCTCTCCAGTTGCAGGGCTCATTATTCTACAGGATCATCAGCTGCAGCCTGGGCCACCACCCCCCACGCGAGGTTAAAAGGCGGTAACTCCGGGCTCACCGAGAGCAGCCTGTAGATGTAGCAGGTCTTCTTCTGGCCGTCTCGCCACACGCGCGCCATGGCTTGCTCGTCATTGGCCGGGTTCCAGTCCGGGTCGAACATGACGAGTCGGTTCGCCCCGATCAAGTTCAAGCCGCAGCCGCCTGCTTTGCTGCTCAGCATGAAGATAAACTCGGGGCTCTGTGGGGCAACGCATGCTTGGATTCAATCTCCACCTGAACACACCTGCCCAGACGGGCAGGGCCACAGACGGGTCCGGGGAGCGCTGCTTACCGACAGGCTGTTAAACCGCTCGACGATCTTCGCTCTCTTTTTAATGGACATGGTGCCATCCAGTCGGACGTATAAATACCTGGCCCGAGACAACACAATGGTGAATGGGATCAGCTCACCACAGCCTTTCCGTTGCCTGGTTTTACAGCCATCAGAGCCCAGAAACAGTTCTGCCATTGGCCCTGTGCCAGGCTCTAGGCGCCTATAGAAACGGACAGGGCTGTTCTGCTGGCTCCCAATGGAAGCCAGACCGGAGGGGTCACGTTTGAGCCATTCTCAGGGCCTCCCCCGAGGCGAGAGGTAGTCCTGCAGGGAGGAACCTCAAGGACAGGCCCCCGAGGCGAAGGCTTGTGTGGCAAGGA